GACGAATGCATCCCTCGATTCGGCGATTTCACTCCCTCCCCTCGAACACAAGACCCGAAGCCCAAGCGTAAAATGACGTGTGTCGTGTGTGTTATTCCGCTGCCAACGGTATTTTTGTTTCAATTTTGGCCTGTCGCTTCGCGATCATTTGTAATACGACGGGTTTGTTGCTTACATTCGAATGTGTCTACCGACACATAATTGATTATCAAGATACGCGGGTAAAGTTCATTGCGTTATACTCGCAGTATCGCGCTGGCGGCTTTTAAATCGACGGCTGCGAAACCGCACGCGCGTGCAATATCAATTCGACGAGTCAATTTCCGATGCTGCACGTGTGTGTGTGTATATGCATAAAATGACCTTACGCCGAACATGCCGCGCTCAATGACGCGCAAATAAAGCTAGAAATTACTTTTTGTGTGTTCACAACGTCGAAGTATAAGTCCACACCGACATTATAGCAGTTTCAATCTCCGCTTTAAACGCGCAGCACTTTTATCGTTTATATTTGCTCACACCGATGTGCTTTTTCCACGCATACATATATGTGCACGCGCGCATACGTACATCGCCGACCGTATTTACGCCAAACACAAAATGTTTCGTATTATTCCGCCAAACCGAAATATTTACTTTAGGTATTATAATTTTATACAGCGTATCCGTTTTATATTTTATTTGATTTATACGGTGCTATATATATATATATATATATATATATAAAATATAATATACGTTTAATGCACATAATACCGAAAGATTGCACGACGTTCGGATATACGCACGGAATGTGCACTATAACGTACACCAATTAATTTAAACATTATTTGTGATGTCTCCGGAAAGTATAACAAGACGCAAAGCGAATATTCGAAACTGCGCTGCCGATAACAATGTGGCGAGCTCGCCCGGCGTTAGCGCGATTCCGTAAATGCACTCGCAGAGAGAAATGACGCCACACCGAATCAGCAACGTCACACAAGGTTTATAGTGTTTTCATTATATCGCATATTATTAGATCAATGTCGCATATGAATCGGATGCTCCATGAAAGACAGACGGGTGCGCTGCCATGGAAAAAAGAACTAGCGTAACGGAAAATACCATTTTTGCGGTCGCTTTTATTTCCCGTAAACGCCACAGTCTTTTATAGAATGCCGCGTGCTGCATGCGACCGGCGCTTATTAAATGTTATCGGGCAAATGTCATTGAAAATAAAATGAACGTCCCGCTTTCGGCCGGAGCACAGACCGCCGGTCTTTTTTCCTCTGTTGGCTTTTTTTGCAAAATAAATACGGGACGAACTGAACTTCGGTAGGTTAACAATAGAGAGGACGAAGCGAGAGAGTTGAACGAGAGAGAGAGAGAGAGAGAGAGAGAGAGAGGAGAGAGAGAGAGAGAGAGAGAGAGAAAGAAAGAGACGACGACGGACGCAAATAACATTGAATGAAAAATGTCAAGGGGCTAATACGCGACGCGACGGAGAAGTGATTACAATGCCGTCGGAGTTACACCCTTGATAAATGCCGCCGCGCGCTGAAATCGAAGTTTTTATACGGTTCCGTTAATCCGCGTTTCGCCGCGATTTATTAAATTCACGCTGGCAACCGGTCAAGCCGGGGCCCGTATACACGGGATTGGATATTCACGTTAATTTCGTTTCCGCGCGCAAACGGTTTTTCTTTATTTTCACAATTTGCGAATGTGCGAATTGTACGTGTCAGTTCGACGGTGCAACCGGCGAAACAGGATTACCCCCGCATTGTGCGTCAAAATGTTTTATCGATAGCGACGACGAAATTTATCAGCGCGCGATGACTAATGGATCCACGGCTCGTTTAGAACTGTACCCGGGCTGCAAAACGCTTCGGCGACTGGATCCGAAGAAAGAGGGAGGGGGAGAGGGATTGCTAAGAAACGGGGCACATTATAACTTACGACGCGACGTACATTGTGCCGTTAACAATGGATACCGTAATATCGCGCACTTCAGCTTCGTATTACGCATGATATCTCGGTTTACCGCCGCATAGTTGATTACCTATCCCGGAATAACTCTGGTTTACCGCTGCATAGTTGATTGGCTATATCGAAATAACGCGAGTTTATCAGTCCGCATTAAAGCGGCACACACACGCCGGGTCGCGCCGCGCTTTCGCGGGCGATGTGTCGGACGGTGCGCGATAAGAAATTTTCCGGGAGCATTGGCGAATTCGTGAAAATTCGCCGCCGCTGTCGGTTCACGACAACACCTGCCAGCCGTTTCTTCGAGTCATCCATCTATCTTGCACCCGCTTCGTATATTAAATTTCCGTTGCCGTTGGAGCGCGAGGAAATCGTCAAAAAGTCTACGTTTATTCACAGTATTACATATTCGAGCATTTCAAACATTTGATAACATCTCGCGTATCAAAACACGCGTCGGCTACGTTAAAAATGAGATCCGCTAAAATTTGTACCGAATGTCTCCTGCGCTGTCCTTTGCTTGGATTTATTGATCATTTTTGTGAATTTTTGAACATGCTTCCTCGGAAAAAATACCTCTCGTATATACACACATACGCAATCAGATTCTCATTTTACTCCTTAAAATGCAGAAATGCGTGGAAAGTAAATTGAAAATTAAAGTGAATTTAATCTAGGACAGCATGAAAAGGAAAGAAATATTGGATTTCATTCATCGTATGCGACGCGATTGCAATATTGTTTGTTTGAAGAATTGAAAATAGATTTATTAAATAATAATTGAAAAGCGGATTTATTAAATTATAACTCACATTGTATGATATGTAATCGGAGATAACCGAACCGCATAAAGCTACGTTTTTATAAAGGGTTAGAGGGCAGGGAAATACAAAGAATGCCGTATTATCGAGCAAGATACGAAACAGACAAAAAAAGGCCACAATGGCGCTTATGCGCTTGTCATGTTTTCCTAAAGCGAGTTGCACAATACGCAAAACCCACTGAATATTTTCCCGGTCGTCGAGCGAACGGAAGTATCCAATCACCCGTATTTCGAGCGGAATCCATTGGAGAGCCAGATTCAAAACACCAGGATATAGATTATCGGCGCACGATACTTTTCGATTCCGCGGGGTACGAACGCGATCATAAAATTGAGGTTGCCAACGGGGACGTGCTAGTAGCTGCCACCGCATCCGTGTGTAATCTATTGATACACACTGTTGCAACTCGAAAGCTAGGTTCTAAAACTAGTGGTATAGGATTAACGGAGTACGTACCGCGTGACAGCAACAAAATGGGACTTGTCGGAACCGCAAAACGTAGCTTGTCATCGCGACGAAATTCCGCGGATTAAACTGCGCGTCAATAGACCAATTGTAATTTTGGAGGCACGATGACCATTTCGCGTAGACTAAAATTTCAAACGACTTAAAAAATCGTGCATTTCTTCCGGGCCGATCATCGTGAGCGATCGCAGAGTTCAATTTTCTTTTTACAATTATACCATACGCGAGTACATACATGTTAAAATATATAATAGAAATTAGAACTGGTCCACGGTACCTCTCGGTGCCACACGTTGCGCTTATAATCAGCGAAAGTCAAAGTTTCGCGTAACAAATCGATAACTTCTCTTTCCCGGTCGACATGCGATCATTTTCCATCGACACGCGGAAATATTTCACAATGCTCACGCGTAACAATACGCGTTGTCATCGCGTTGGCTATATTCCTGTTCCCGACGAAACTCGTCCGAGCGACATTCACAGAAGCGGATATCATCGACGCACCTCCGACCACCTAGCACGTACACGGGGCGACGAAAGTTGAAGCGCTGGCGGGGATTTGCGCCGGGCAAAGGGTGGAAGAACGGGTCGGCCGGCCGGAAGGTAATGGGAGCGTAGGTTATACCCGTGGCCGCTCAATTAAATCTCGTCGACGTCGCGTGCAGGAAGCAGACCGCGGCATGCACCGGAGGCTTCCTTACCGATTTCGAGTGGGTGGACCCTGCTCTCGAAATTTATTAGTCCGTGCCAGCGACCGACTAATCCAGACTCGGGTAGCCCGAGCGTGCGACTATTACCCGCAGCGTCGTGCGCTGCTTCATCGCAGGCAGGTTCATCGTAAGGGCAAGGCAGGTGTGCACTCGCAAGTCTGCCAAGCGACTTGAACGAGAAACCGCAACACGCCGTTGGAATCGTCGCGGGAATCTTTTCGCTCACCACCTGGATTTCAGTTTCGTCCATTCGTCGAGCTCTTTACTTTAAGAACTTGGCCACGTGAATTGCCACTTGAACTATTTGAGCTTGATCGCAACTAGATGTGAACCTGTATGTGAAGGATGTCATACGTATCCGTTCGTAAAGTCGCGATAGAGAGATAGGACTACTGACTGAACATAAGCGAATTGATCTGATTTGACCTATATCGATGTTCAACCCTCGTAATCGGAGCGTAGCTCGAGTCAGACCCGGAAAGAAGATTATCGATTTGTTGATGTGAAATTCATCTCGACTTCTTACAACAGCTCCAATACATTCCCGTCTTGGAAAATATTCCATTCGAACCATCACATTCCGTTCACTTCGACAAGACGATTTGATGCATGTCTCTCCGTAAAACAACTTGAACTTAAATGGCAAGCGCGTTAAGCCGTAGTTTAGTGAGATGTTAAGGTATCAAGCTAAGCGCACGGGTCTCCTTGTTTCATCGCAATTACATTTGAACGGCTTGTTTCATTCCGGCTCGAGCTGTGGATGCAATGGTACACTTTATCGTGCGATGATCCTCGTTGAACAGCCGACGAATCGCGAAGTCGAAAGGAGAATTTATAGGACACGGAGGTTTGAGAGAGATAAAGATAAATAGACAGATAGATAGAGAGAGAGAGAGAGAGAGAGAGAGGAGGGGGGGGAGGAGAGAGACAGAGAGAGAGAGAGAGAGAAAGAGACAGATAGAGGGGGAGGGGAAAGAGAGAACGAAGGTTTATGGTACGCTACGGAGTAAGCGGAAATAAAATTTATATTCACCTCTTTCGGGCACTGGCTCGCGTATACCCATGCCGAGCTGCAGCTCGCTCACCGCCGAGTATATGCCGGGGATCTGTGCGGTGCAACGTAGATTCAGCTGGCCGTTCGTGTAATGGAACGGTTTCAGGTTGAGACTGACTTCACTCCATTGCGCACCTTCGTCATCCTTCGTCTTCTGGTACTTCGTGGTTGCCTCCACCTGCGCGACAGATCAAGTGTGAGCTTGACGTCGAACGTCGCCCGCCGTGCGTACGAACAACGAGCGCGCGAAAAGGTGCGGAATCGCGAACGAGAGGCGAGACGCCGAGGAGAGCCGGCGAGATGTAAATCTGTTCTCTCCGCGAGACCCGTTCATCCGGAATCGTAGGGCGAACTCTTGCTTGTCCGATTCATCCTCTTCTCGCCCACTCTTTCGTCATCCCGCGCCCTTCAATGGCGCGTCGTCCTGCGCCAAGTACAAAGACGAGGGTTTCCAGTTCGATGAAAAGTCGGAGAAACTCTCGTTCATACCCGGCGCCGTGTTCTTCCGATTAATGTCTCTCCCTCGCCCATTCCCGCCCGTTTTTTCCATTCCTGCGTGAAATCGGTTTTCTCCCGTCTAGTCGCGGCAAGCGAGAGCGAACGAACGAACGAGCGAGCGAGCGAGCGAACGAGCGAGCGAGCGAACCCCCGTCAAAAGTATTGGCCGGAATGGCCGAGTTCCGGCTTCCTTAATGGATCATTATCGTCCTCGGGAACGTGATGGCGTCGAAAGTGAGTTATTCGAATGAATCGTACGGTAGAGTGAATTGTAAGTGAATCGCGAGAAGTTTACCTAAACTTTCGACGACGTAGGCGACGTCAGATCGATAGAGCCGCTCTGCTCGCTCGTACGTATTGTCACTCTTAAATTTCCTTGAGACGTAACTTTTGCACGAGATGCGATATAATAAATAAATAATGAAGTGCTAAGCGCGATATCGTGGACTCTCGACTAGATTCTCGGAAAAGGAATTCTTGATTTTCGACGTAGTAATATTGCGCGAGTATCGCGAAAATCGTCCAGACGCGCGTCCAGTCGCGAAGGATTCTCGCTTCCGGGACGTTTCGGCGATAAAAGCTAGTCAGCATCCATATATATATATTCGCGATAAATATTAAATTTACACACACACACACACGTGCACACGCGCTCATTTCCCATCCAGACGTCAAGTTAAACCCTAATAATCTTGCTTAATAGTTTCTCAAGTGATAATAATCTCAGTAATAACATAATTCCCGGTTCGCAGTGTTATATGCGCACCTGATGCCGGCGTGCTTCGAGAAGATAGTTGTTACGAAGTTTAGCTACATTCACCGTCGAATCGACGTTAAATTACACAGGAACGTTTTCCTGATTTATATGTTACCAACACGATGCAGTGCGGATGCATCTTTCCCCTCTTTACCACTGTACAATGTTGCTGCAAATAATCGAGACGGGATAAACGGGATCGATAAAATTCCCTATAAAAAGTGAGAATGCTTACAAGCGCGAAGCTACAGGAATAATTATGAAAGAAATGCTACGATTATATAAATTCGAATGTTACGAGCTAACCGTCTCGGGTGACAATCAGCGCTGTAGTAGTGAAATTCGATCTTAGGGGATGATGATTTGTGCTCGTAGCTAATCAAACGAAACCAAGCAGAGAACTAATGAAAGCATCTCATAACGAAGCGACTGTTGTATCGCACGAAATGTTACAACGACGATATCCATTTTGTGATTTATATAAGTTCCCGTGAGCTCGAGATTGTTTCCAGCATCGCCGAACAGGTTTCGAAGCTTAGCGTAATTTCAAAAGCGGAGACTTTCCGCCATCCCGTTTTATCCCGTTGAAAGCTTTTTTTAGTTTATTTATATTTTTTGAAAAATCACTTCTCCGAATATAACGGTTTAATATCGCAGACAATATAACTCTTAAAAAAGAGAACTTTAGAAACCCTTATATAACTTGATCGCGTTTCTCTGTAAATATAACGCTGCTTGATTCTAAAGATTCTAAAGATAAATGAATAAAACTGAGCTCGCGGAATTATATCATAGAACATCGAGTGAATAAAAGAGTCGACGCGAGTCTGTCTGTAGAAGAGTATATTCGCGTGATAATTGATATGTCAAGCTGTCCACGCCACCTCGGGCAAACAATATCGGCGGGGGCGTGCGAGCGTCACGGGAGCACTTGCTGACTTTACGTTTTCTCAACGGAGAAATTATGCAATTCGCGCGCGATCCGGTGTGATATACGGCGGCACGCGTAAAAAAGCATCTCGACTAATGATTAATGACCGAGTAGCATTGATGCTTATCCCCTCGCCATGGTAAGTGCACCCGGCCGAATATAAATTCCGCTTTTTAAACAGCTACCGGCGCGAAATTCAATCTCGGAGGGAAGTGAGCGAAAGTGATTACAGCGGTTGAATACAGATTATGAGAAGGCGGCCGCTACGTCATATTTAAGCGCCCCGGATTTTCTTTGTGAGCGTCTAAAGGGAAGGCTATATCGCGTCCCTCTCCTTCTCTCTCCCCCTTTCTCTCGTTCTCTCTCTACCATCGGCACACTTTCGTGTGTCCCGCGCAATGGAAAATTAAAAAAAAACGCTTCAGTTTACCTAACGGATCGTGAAATTTTCTATTATGAGATTAAATGTGCTGGTCGCGGTACGTCTTATTGAAGAAAAAACCCGCTTTAATATTACTTGACGCGCTATGAAGAAAGCTTTGACGGGGGCGCAATTTGCACATTTCTGCAAAGTCACATTCTGTGTGACGTCTGATCTCGACGTCGGATCTCGATAAGAGATTTTCAGTCGAAATTCTGCACGAGCTTGCAAAAAACCGGACGATATCGTTGACTTTATTCCTCGATCGAGGAACAAAGGAGAGTGCATGACTCGACGAATAAAAGGTAAGTTTTGCGAGATCTCGCGAAACTTTCTTTTCGAGTCTTTAATTGCCTACTCTCGTCAAAAGTTTCAAGGATGCACTCTCAGGTGCATCCTTGAGTTTTAAGAGTCGATTTTTTATTGGTCAAGATTTTATCGTCACCCTTTCTCCAGAAGCTCCGGAAGAATTTTTAATGTTAAATATCTCGCGCATTAAATTTTACATTAAAATACTATTAAAATGGTACTTTTACAAGTACATTTGGAATTATATAGAGATTCCAATTTAAATATTGGGATCGCTGCTCCGAAGCTCTGTAACCATCAGAACGCTTCAATTTTTAATCGTGCGTATGAATCTGTTTGCGAATACTTACTTCCACATAGTTTATCAGGAAGACTCGGGGAAATTGACGAATTTACAATTCGATTGACATTCATCGCAATTATAATAATCATCGAAAATATGCTTGCGATCGATTTTGCGAAAATACGCAATCGATTTTTCGCAAATATTTTATGAGATAAAAAAATATCTAAAAAAGACGTTGCAAAACGTGAATATACGTTAGTTACTTCGCACACATCAAGAATGCCGAGGTAGAAACGTTAACGATGTTTGCCTCGCATGCTCAACCGCATTCTCTAGAATTCCCGCATTCCCACAAAGCCTACATAGGTTAAGATAGATATAACTAGCGCCACGTGTGTAATCTAAGTTAAGTAATCAAGCGAGAAATTCGAGACCGACTTAAAGCGGATGCATTCAAAATATTTCCGATAGGATTATGGAGACATTTACGTTATTATATGAGCCGTTTAGCGAAACGACGGCATTACATTTTCCTCACTTTAACGAAACGGAAGGACTTCTGAAAGTACTTAATTTAAACTTTAGCCACTCCATCGTAATGCTTTTTCAAGATCCTACAAAGAACGAAATATAATATCTCTCACACCGTCCTGCGAAACAAAAAGCGGGAGAACTCGTTACTTAAAAATCATCTCAAATTACCGTCTTACTCCAAAGAAATATATTTTAGGATCGATGGAACAATACACGTTTTTATCTCTTTAAATTTCGAAATTTCTCTCTCTCTCTCTCTCTCTCTCTCTCTCTCTCTCTCTCTCTCTCTCTCTATGAACTTGTAATTGTACAACGAGACTTCTTTAATCTACGATATTAATTTTTAAAGTGGGTCATAATTACCGTTAAAGGAAAAATCTTTGCCGTTATTAGGAATTATTACCGCGCTCTTGATTTATGTTTCTCGCGGGACAGACCGTATTTTCTCATTTCATTATTCGTCATCTAAAAATGGAATTCTTTCTTTCCCCCGCTATTCAAGGCGCAGATTACCAGAAATGCAGCGGCATATGGCAGGGGGAGGGGAGAGGGGAGAGGCGGAGGGAGGGGGAGGGGCAGCGAAAGCCGCAGGCCATTACATAGCCGCGCACACGGTGTGAACGCAAGCGAGATATGAAATCTCGCAGTAATGCACATTTAATTGCACGTACGGTACTTGTTGAATCTATGAGAGGGAAATGAGGGGTCGGGGAAGGAGAAAGGGGGAAGGAAAGCGCGTGCATCTGAAAACCAATATATTCGATTGATATCGCGAACGTGGGATCCGATTGGTATCGAGAAACTACTGCCATCTCCGCGAGGCAAGGCGGGAATAGATTAAAAATCTCCTCGCTACAAGACAAATGAGATTCCCACAAAAAGTTCTCCCGAACAGAGAACCATTTTATCCGCGCGCGCGCGCGCGCGGTCATGGAGCGTCGCGTTTTTCTCGTCTTTCTTCCGATTTCAATCGCGGGCGAATTGCGAGTAGTAGTCGGGGCGTAGATAGTGCGAGTCGCAACGAGCGCCCCGCGTTAGTCTCGTTATTGGAGCGTCGAGTACGAAAGAGCCAGCTCAATACGAGATACACGTGAAATCCATCGCGCATGCTTTAATTAACGGAGACGACTATAAGAACCCTTTTCGTTGGGGGTGCCAGCGTGTTAGACGGATGACGGATAAGCGAGAACGTGGACGAGTAACGCGTAACGACGATGACGACAACGTTAACCTAGTGAAAAGACGATTGTGCCGTGGCAAACGACGCGGTTTACGGCGCATCATGACGGCAAAATGTAAAAGAGCGCCCATACGTCGACTTATTGGCGCAAGCAGTCGCAACGCACCACTGTATCACCTCCTGGTCGCGCCACATCGGGTTGCTTGTGTTCACGTAAAACGGTACGCGCGGCAGCTCGCACAACACCCCGTGTACCAACACA